TGCTGATCTTTGAGATTTTTCTGCTATTTCGTACTCTTTTGTATACTATAATACATATTAGTAATTTTTGGTAGACCTACATAATGCTGAAGGAATGTTGAAAAATGGAGAAGCTAAAGTAGTCATTTTCATCGCAAATTTCCAATAATTGCAATTTTCATTCGATAAGTATTGGTTTTGAAACGTGTACTGCATCCTTACAGAGAACCGCTCTGGATTTGGGGACCATACGACGAGACAATCCATTACTGAAGTTAGATGAAATTCTGGATGTCTTACTGGCTACAAATGAGGTGTGTTAAGCTCGCATTTTTTTGGCAGATGCGCTTTTATGTCGAGAAGGGCAACAATTTATTGCAAGGATTGGTTTATTGGATTGATTTGCCACTGAACTCGGCGAAAAGCCCCTTCTACTTTCCTAGAATTCATCTTTTTCCGTTACAGAGGATATTGAAGTCAAAAATTGCTTACATTGTCGTGAAAATGTAAAAAAGTAATCGAAATCTTTTTTTCACATGTGACTGACCTCTTAAAATCATTTCATCGCTTATGTTAACAAAAAACTAGTTTGGACCTGAAGAGAACAATTCAAAGTGGAGTGACTCTAATTACATGCCCTTCAACGTGCATTTGGTACACCTAAATGTTAACCTAAGAAGTACAATGAAGGTCAGAGTAGATGTACTTTATTCGGAGAATTTATCATGAAATGTGCAAATAAGAAGAATTCAGATATAAAAGAAATCTACTGGCGCGTGCGCGAGCGACTTTCTTCATGCACATGTTTGTTTCTGTTTTTATTGTGTTTTTTTATTTCTCTCCCTTTTGAAATCTTAGTTTTATGTTCCTCCACAAAAATACACTGCTGCGCTTTGACTTCCATGGATTTGTTTAGGATTTGCAATTAGTTGATTTTCCAGAAAACAGGAATAATCTTGTTATCCAATGTTTATTGTAGTTTCAGAAATTCAATTTCTCATCTTTCTTATATTTTTAGGATTTCGCCGACCACTTAAAATGTTGCTAACTTCAATTGCTATAATTTTGTTAATTGGTCAATTAGCAAACCCATCTCCTGTTAAGCGGGAAGCCGAGGCGCAAGATGCTATCGTTGAAGAAACCACAGCTACTGTAGTAGAAGGTGATATTATCGAAGGAGAAGCAGACGCTGCTGGAAAGGTAGCGGAAAATGGAACAGATGGAGAACAAGGTACCGCGGAAGGAGGGGAAGATGAAGCAGCACCTGAAGCAGAGGGTGAAGCAGCAGCTGACGCGGAAGGTGAAGCAGCAGCTGACGCGGAAGGTGAAGCAGCAGGTGGAGAAGCAGGTATTCCTGAAGAAGTGGCGGATGAAGCTGCAGAAGCTACTACGAGTGAGGAAGGCGCGACAGGTGAAGAAATGAGCTTGGATGATGAACCTGTCGTTATCACAGAAGGAGAAAATGAAA